TCTTGTTCTTTGATCCATCCTGCCACTCTGTGTCTTTTGATTGGGGAGTTCAATCCATTTACATTTAGAGTGATTATTGAGATGTGGGGGGCCTACCACTACCATTTTGTGTCTTGTTTTCCAGTTTTCTTCAATTTCCTTTGTTTCTCGTCCCATGGTTCAATCTGTTCTGATGAAGAGCTGCTACTCTCTGTTGTTGTCCTTCTACTTATCTCCTCTGCTCTTGGTTTTGTAGCCCCTTTCCTTTTTTGGATTTTTCAGGAATGAGGGTTTTCCTGAGGATTTCCTGGAGAGGAGGTTTTGTGGCAATGAACTCCCTTAATTTTTGTTTATCTGGGAAAGTTTTTATTTCTCCATCGTATTTGAAGGATATTTTCGCTGGGTAGAGAATTCTCGGCTGTAGATTTTTGTCCTTCAGATTTTTGAATATATCATTCCACTCTCTTCTAGCCTGTAAAGTTTCTGCTGAGAAATCTGCTGATAGCCTGATGGGGGTTCCTTTGTAGGTTAGTTTCTTTTGCCTGGCTGTCCTTAGTATTTTCTCCTTGTCGTTGACTTTTGCTAGCTTCACTACTATATGCCGTGGAGTTGGTCTTCTTGCATTGATAAAGTTTGGAGATCTATTGGCTTCTGTCACCTGAAGATCCATCTCTCTCACCAGATTTGGGAAGTTCTCAGCCATTATTTCTTTGAATAGGCTTTCTGACCCTTTCTCCTTCTCTTCTCCCTCTGGTATACCTATAATCCTTATGTTGCATCTCCTAATTGTGTCTGATAATTCTCGGAGAGTTTCTTCATTTCTTTTTAGTCTTACTTCTCTCTCCTCCTCTGCCTGCAGCAATTCTATATTGCCATCTTCCAAATTGCTAATTCTTTCCTCCATATTATTGGCCCTACTGTTCAGAGCATCTAGATTTTTCTTAATCTCCTCTATTGTGTTCTTCATTTCCAATATTTCTGTTTGGTTCTTCTTTATCAAATCAAACTCTTTTGTGACATAGCTCCTGAACTCGTTGAGTTGTCGGTCAGAATTCTCTCTTAACTCATTGAGTATTTTAATGATGGCTGTTTTGAAGTCATCATCATTTAGGTTATATATCTCATTTTCTTTGGGGTTGTTTTCTGTGTATTTGTTATTTTCTTTCTGTTCTGGAGATTTAATGTATTTTTTCATATTGCTTGATGTTGTTGATTTGTGCCTCCGCATAGAGATAGAGTTTAGTTGCTCCTTTCACTTGTTTCAGCTGCTGCAGTGGGGGAGCAGCTGTTTATACTGCACCAACCAGGAACCCTGTCCGCAGTTGCTAACTGGGCCTGGGCCCCTCCTTGTAGTCACAGTGGTCCTTTGGATTCCCTCCTCTGCCGTGGGGGCCGTCACAGGGGGGCTTCAGGCTGCTGGTGCCTATTTTTGCAGCCCACCTAGACGTGCTCCCTCCTTGGGGTCTGCAATGGTGTTATGGGCTTTTCCAGTGGCCAGGGGTGGGATCACTTATATTTGTCGCTCCGTCGCTGTCGGCACCCACAAAATCTCACTTGTCCACTATGGGTCGCAGGAGAGCTATTGGCATCTTCTACAGTCTGTGGTTAGTTCACCTAGCTACGCTACTTTTGTCCCGGGGTCTTCCAGCCTTGTGGCTGCCGGTTGGGTGCTTTCTACTAGTGCTGTGCAGAGGCTTTCCCTGAGACTGCTGTGAGCCTGTAGGGTTTCCCCCTAGGCTACGGAGCTGGGTCACTGGAACTCCCCCCAGCCCCAGTCCTGTTTCCCAGGAACCCGGGGAGCCCTTTGCCCTGTCTTGGGGGCTAGCCAGAGATCCTGATTTCAGTGGTAGCTGGTCAGCTGCTGCCCTGCCTGATATTCTCCTCTCCGGGACCCTCCCAGTATTGTGGATGCTGGGTATGGCCCCTCCACTAATAGCAGACAGAGAGTTTTGTCTGCTGCCCAGGCAGAACTCTGGAGCTTCCCCTCCGGGGCGCAGAGCCGGCCTCTGGAGCTTCCCCCAACCCCAGTCCTCTCCGAGATCTCCGGCAATCCCTAGCCCCACGGGGCGGGCAATGGCAGCTGGGGGTCGCCCCGCCCTCTGGGATTCTCTCCGGGACTTTCCCGGAGCCGTGAATGCTGGGCGTGGCCCCTCTGCTAATGGCAGACAGAGAGCTTTGTCTGCTGCCCGGGCGGAACTCTGGAGCTTTCCCTCCAGGGCGCGGAGTCGGCCTCTGGAGCTTCACCCAGCCCCAGTCTGCTTGGAGATCTCCGGCAATCCCTAGCTCCACCGTGCAGGCAGTGGCAGCCGGGGGACCTCCGTACCCTCAGCGACTCTCTCTGGGACCCTCTGGGCACCGCGAACACCAGGCGGGAGCTCGCCGCCAATGGCGGGGAGAGACTCTCCCCGCGGGCCCAGGTGTGCAACTCCAAAGTTTCCCTCTGCATTTAGGAGTAATTGCGGGGGGTTTAGGTAGGGTTCTGGTCACCTGTTTCCACCGTCGCTCCTCTGTTGTGTGCTCACTCCTGCCCTAGATGTGTGTTGATCTTCTGGGGGCGTCCGTTGGAAGAAAGCTGCTTGCGGGTACTAGGCTGTTCGGTCGGGGTTGGAGAGTTTTCACCTATTTCCACATCCTCCCGGAGGAAAGTCCATCCGCCTTCCGATGTATAGTCGCGTGGGTCTCTCAGATGTCCTGAGATGCTGTCTGGATATCCTTTGTTAAGCGATAAGTGTCCAAATAATTGTAGACTCGAAGGGGGAGAGACAAAGAGGACTACTCACGGCACCATCTTGGATCTCCTCTCCAGAATGGTACTTTTGATTGTGGTATATGTTGTCTTAAAAATTAAAATGGCCCATGAAGCTTTGTGTCTTTTTGTAAAAATAGGAATTACAAGGGCACAACAATTTGTTTTTAATCTTGGAAGGGATATTCTTCATGCTCCAAACCATTGTACTCCCAGAAACTTCACCAAGGTGGCGGGACCTGGGGTTTTCATGAGATTTTGTCTCACCTTCTTTTTTTAAAGGAAGATTAGCCCTGAGCTAACTGCTACCAATCCTCCTCTTTTTGCTGAGGAAGACTGGCCCTGAGCTAATGTCCGTGCCCATCTTCCTCTACGTTATATGTGGGATGCCTGCCACAGCATGGCGTGTCATATGGTGCCATGTCCGTGCTCGGGATCCCAACTGGCGAACCCCAGGTCGCCAAGAAGTGGAACGTGCAAGCATAACTGCTGTGCCACTGGGCTGACCCAGGGAGTTTTTAAATGTGAAGATATTGTCACTATTTAAGAGTCATAAATGTGTTCTGATAAACCTTGCCACCTGCCAGACTCTTTTGCACCCAGGGTACACTTAGACTAGTTAGTTAGGAATTGAAACTGTTAGGGGAGGGAAAGACCCATCTGTGGGCTGTAGGAAGAAGTCCAGGGAACAGTGGAAAATAGTATCCAGAGGTCGGCAGTGGCTGTGTGTCCAGGCAGGAATACAGTTTGGTGCCACAGTCACAGGGCAGCAGGACCAGTGCTGATGGTCCCAGGTGTATGTGCCTGTGCTAATCACTTTGCTTCTTGGGGCCTCAGCCATGGGGGTGTCTCAGTCCTGAAGTAATGCCTGCCCAGAAAGGACATGACAGTAACTAATGCCTGAATTCTCCCTAAGCCCAATCAGTGTTGACTGTTGGTTTCCAGTCTGCAAATTCCTTCTGTCCTTCAGGTCACTGCTGAGGTGACATTCACAATGATCATTCAGCTGCTTAGGGGATTTAACTACTCATCCTCAGCTCAAAGATCTCGTGCTTCTGTGGGCCTGGATGATGCTTCCTCCCTTATATCCTCACCAGAAGACACAAGCTGGTTTCCTACGATAAGCCTTCCGGCAGTTCTGAACTATGGGACTGTCTCCCTACGATGCCATGTCGGTTTCTGGCAAGAGTAGGTGGAGAGTGATGGCTCTGGGCCTGATGACAGATGTTCGGCAGGGGTTGAGAATCACCAACCTGAATCTGCTCATTCTCACAAGGTCAGTGGGGTCTCCCAAAGAGAAACGGACATGGTTTTCTGTGAAGTCTTGGATGTTTCAGGCCTTGATTTGCCTTTTTGTCACTCTGTGACCTTGTGCAAGTCATTCACACACACCGAGGCCTCAGTCTCCTCATCCGTGGGGTGAACGGGTTGGCTTGGTTCTCTAAGGACCTTAAACAATGATCGTGTATTTATTTTTTATTCGAGGGGCAACCTTCCCCAGCGCAAGCAGCCCTGTTCTTTTTTCTTGCATCCAGTTTGTCATAAATCTCATCTGCACTCACAGTCTCAACTTCCTTACTCCCTTGTTCTTCTCCAAAAATATGAGTCTCATCCAGGGCATTGATAATCTTTTTATTTACATCTCCAATGACCCTTGTCTATGCCTATCTTTCTCAAGCCTTTAGCAATGAACACTTTGGACCACTTTGTCCTTCGTCACACTCTTCCATGTTGTCATCTTTAACATCCTCTTGCTGAGAACAGAAAAGAGGTCAGTACAACTGGATGCTTGTAAGCACAACAGAGCAGTAGATGACTTGTGTATCCATCAGCTTCCTGGACGTCTTCCTCAGGGTCTCCCAGGCAATTCCACGCAGAGTGGCCACAGTTAAAGGCATAATATTCCTGCTGGAATCAATTCATCCTCCCAGATTTCCCCTTACCCTTGGGCTCCCCAACCTGAGACATGGATAGGAGCCTCACCTGCTCCCTCACCCTTCCAGGTTCACCTGCTGAACACCTCTCAAACCTGCCATTTTCACTTCTTGTGTAGAAACCCATGTGTGAGTGTTACTTCTGCCCCCAACTCCTTGTTCACCCTTCCTAAGGACACCAGAGCAGTTGGTCTGAAATCCACACTCATCTGGACATGTCCCTGTCATGCCTAAGACCATTAAGATCTCCAGCGTAAGGTCAAAACTCTGTTCTAGGGCTCTTTCCAAACTATCAGTCCTCAAGGGATGGTTAAAAATGACAAGGCTCCCCGTGCTTGGGAAGAGTAACTTTATTTGGTGAGGAACACAGGATATAACACATGCCTAGTGGAAAAGGAGGGGGAGCAGTTTCCTCAGAGAGAATGCTGCTCTGGTCATGTCATTTTCCAGAACATGGGACATCCTTTTGTGAGCCCTCAGAAGCTGGGCAGGGAGTGGATTGAACAGCAGGAAATGGTTCTGTTGGGAGAAGACCCCAATCAGAATGGAGACTCAAGGTCACAGACTGTTCTTGGTATTGGCCCATCGTCAAACTCAGTCTCCAGAGGGAGGTGAGGAGACTGAGACCCTGTGGATGGGGATCTTGTCTTAGCCACAAGAGTAGCCCAGGTGTGGGGTCAGGGGACTCCTTGTGCATGTATTTGAGTGAGTGTGTGTTTGTGTATCCACGTGTACTTCTGTGTGGAGAGCCTGCAAATGTGTGCACATGTGTGTGAGTGTGCTGGTGTGATAGGGTGCCTCCATATGTGTGTCTGAGTGACCAGGTATTTGTCTGGACATGTGAGTGTATCCATGACCATGTGAGTTTCTCTTTGTAGCTATGATGCAGTGCAACCTGTGTCTCTCCATCTCTGTCAGCATTTCTGCGAACATTCTGTGTATCTCTGTGTCTGTCTATGTGGCTCTTTGTCTCTCTCTGTGAACGTCACTGTCCCAGACACCCTGCTGCCCCCTACTGGGAGTCAGCCTCCAAACCCTGGGGACTGGGTAGCAGCACTCACCAGCTCAGCAGAGGCCGATCCCTTGTTGGAAAGCCTAGACTTTAACTGCAATTTTCAGGCCAGAGATTAGCATGCCTGAAAATGAAAAAACATCAAACCACAGACCACAGTAATGCTCTCAGTGTGAAGGAGTCCAGGGATACCTCACATGCCCCTGAGGCCTGGGGCCAGGGAATGGGAACTCTGGAGATCCGCCCAAGCCCACGCAGGGGGCCTCGCCTCCTCCACCAACCAGCCTAGCTGTTCTCGGTGTCAGGGATGATGCGGGAGACAGAGACCATACTTCAACATTATCTGGATAATTCAAGGCAAAAAAGAAACTCAAACTGGCGAGAGTTGAGGCTGGAGGGAGCTAGCATCCTATGGTGTGCAGGGGCAGAGCTCCTCAGGGGAAATCACTGCTCCTGCAGAGGGGGAGCCAGGGCTTACCGAATAGAGATAATGCCCTCCACCGGCTTGGTGTTCAATTTGTGGACAACTTCTTTGAGCCTAAAGCACACCTGACCCAGGGGCAGAGAGAGGAGTTAAGGAAGTGGCACTGTAGGTGGACCCTGGGAGCAGCAGCAGCACTGCACCAGGATGGATTCTCTGGGGAGATTTTCTATCATTTTTCTGTCTGAGAGTGTTTGATTCTCAGAAATCCCACATCCAAACTAGGAAGAAGGAGAAACTGAAGGCTTGTGTGGAAGTGCCCAATCACCCAAGGAGCCATTGTTCACTCTGTGACGTGACATCTGTTTCTAAAGAGGGTGGGCTGCTCTGAGAGGGGTGAACTTCTAGTTATAGGAGGCACTCAAGTATGGGCTGAAAGAGTGCTCATCTGTGCCATAGGGGACTGGACTTGGAGCTTCTCAGGGCAGGGGCCAGTCCATTTCAGCTGCAGTGTGGACAAGCACAGGGCCTGGTACAGATCAGGAACCAAGCAATACTTTTTGAAAGGTGGAAGGAAGAATTATGCACAGATGGATCAATGGAAAGATAGACTAAGGGGTGGAATTTACTTATCAAGCTGAGGGACTCAGAAAAGCTCACCCCAGGGCCCTCTCTCAGCCTGATAAGCTCTAAGAGCCAAGGATCAGGAGCCCCCACTTCCATCCACTTACCTTGTTCTCCACCAGCCCAGGAAGCATCTTTCTGAGGTTTTCATAGAGGTTTTCAATGGAGTAGATGGGAATACTGAAAGGGAAAAGCCATGGGGTGATGCAGAGGCATGGGGTTTGTAGGGAGAAGCCTTCAGAAGGGCCACTATGCCCACGGAAATCTCAACATCACGTAACCAAGAATAGAGCTTGTCCATCCACACACACAGGCCGGTAAACACTGAGGGGCCTATCCAAAGGGAGTCACACCCTACACAGCAGTGCACACAGTAAGTGTGTGTAGAATAAACATATAGTTCCAGTACACAGTAGGTGTTCAATGAAACTTTGTAGAATCCATAAATGGATGCACAGTGCATAGTATGCAGTTGTCATGAGGATTCAATGAGATGACACATGTGGAGCACAGTATATGCGTTCAGTAAATGTGAGCCATGATGAGAACGACTCCTGCATATTATGCCAGACTCAGTGTCCCTTGTGACAATAACTGAAATCAGTAACCCAGTTAAGCTCCAGAGCTGTTTTACCCCTTATTGAGACAAAGCACATTCACACCGATTATCTTAGCACACTGTCAACAACCCCGATGTGGCTCCATATTACAGTTATCTGAGGAAGCTGAGACTCAAGTTGGGAAGCGGTGTCCAAGTTCACACAGGAAGCCCTCCACCTCTCTCCATGCCCCTCTGGTAGGTGGAACTTGAACTCAGATTTCTTGTTGCCTAATCCAGCAGAAAATTGGTCAGTCCAGCCTCAGAAGGGATAAGTGACTATTTACCCATCCACTTACCTTCTCATCTACCCCTCTATCCTCCCATCCTTCCATCTCCCCACCCTTCCACCCTCCCACTCATCCATTGTCCCATTGTTCCATCTTCCCAACCATCTACCCATAATCCCATCCTATTATCTCCAAGCAGGGGAAGACACCTCTCTGGCCTCACAATTTAAACAGGAGGATTTCCAGGCTGCCATCAGCATGCATGCAGCCAAGAAAGACCATCGAGTTTTTCTTCCTTCCATCTTTCACAGTTAAGAGTTCTCCAGTGATTTTTAGCTTCACAGCCACCTCCAATATGCTTCCAAATGGGGGCCTGTGGAGGAGACAGTCTGCTTCATCTGGTCCTACCACATTCTAAAAGCAGAGAAGGCTTTTCTCTTTGCTAGGAATGCCAGCCTCCCCCCACCCCATCTAGGCCACACCTGTACTCATCTCATTTCCTAGTAGGAGAAACCAAGGCTCCAAGAGGCCAAGTGAGTTTCCCAAGTGATGCAAGGTCACTCAGCAAAGGAGCAATAGAGCTGAAGTTGAAGGCTCATGTCTGTTAGACTCCAACACGCCTTTTTTGGCTCCCCATGGTCATCAGAGTCTCCTTTGGTGACTCATCTTCCCATCCTCTCTTGGAGCCCACTCACTGTGGTATGCTGATGGTCATGGTCACAGGGATGGTGACATAGAGACGACGGCCATCAGGACTCATCCCAATCTCAATAGTCTGCAGCTGGGGATACCTGATCTTCGCTCTGCCCAGGGAGCAACATTGGAGGAAACATTAGCTCCTCTAGCTTGAAACCTAGAAACCACATTTAACCCGACTTTACCCTTCCCAGAGGTGGTGCTACCAATGAGCAACAGTCTTGCAGCAAAATCCAGATGGACATCACAGTGACAATGTAATTGAGGAAAGGAGCTTACACACTGTTGCTTACACTGAAGGCCACCTGTGTTCTAAGGGATTGCACAGGTGAGGAGAACAAAATTATTATGTGTGGTTAAAAAAAGCCTCTGCCTGGACTTAAGTAAATTGGAGTTAGATCCCTCACTCTGCATCAGTCTAGTTGTGTGAGCACAGCCTTCTTTCTGTGCCTCAGTTTTCCCATCTGTAAACTGAGGATTATCAAATCGACCCTAAAGGGGTTTATATTATAGATGAGGTTTATATTATAGATTATAGATGATATTGGGGACTGAGGACATGCTTCGGGACTGGTGGCAATTACTGGTTCAAGAGGGCTGTTATTCCCTACCAGACTGTGAGGAGGGTCTCAGACTGAGTCCTGGGCTTATGTTCAGAACCCCCTCAGTGCCCCCCCACCACAGCTCTGCCTCCCCCGCATCAGGGCCACTGCCTAGGCTTGTCATATCTCAAATGAGGGTTCTCTGCTGGGAACCAAGGCCCTATTTCAGGGCTACTCACTTAATCTTTTTCAGTACATTGAGAAATAGATCCGATTTCCCACGCAGGCCACCAAACATGGATTTTGAAGAGAGTCTTGAAGTCTTCACAGTGATCGAGAGCTGAGCATTTTCAAGACTGGGCAACAGACCCTCAGAGAGCAAGCCATCGCTGAGAGCTGGAAAGTGGTATACGGGTCCTCGGGGTCAGACCTGACAATTCCAGATCCTTAGCCCCACTCCTCTATCATCCCTGCCCCTCTCCCTCCAAAGGACAGCTGGACACACACACACACACAGCTGAAACAGGTTGTCACAAACTCTCACTTACCACTGCTCAAGCTTTCAGAAAAATCTGTGTTACTCAAGGCCAGGGGTGGAGTCATAGCCAAGGGCCGGGTCTGGGCCAGCAGCCCACAGAAGGCAATGAGGGCCCCAGTGTGAAACATCTTCTCTCTTCCTATTTGAGAACAGAGTGTCCAGCGTGACACAGATACCAGAGAGGAATTGATCCACCTGCGCCCTCCCCCAGAACACCAGGGAGAGAAGATCCATAGCTAACACCGCTCCCCATTTCCTCCGCGCCAGGCCTCAGGATGAGCACTGCACACTCAGTAACCGACGTCATCCCAACCACACCCTAAGACGTGGGCACTCATCACTCGCATTGCACAGGTGAGGACATGGGGGCCTAGTGAGCTTAGGTAACCTCCCCCAAGGTGACAGGTACACAATGGACATGGGATTTAAAGCCAGATCTGTTTGACCCAGAAGCCTCTGTTTAAACTAAGTGACCATCAGATTGACTCTCCAATTGAGCTTGCTTACAATGGTTTGAATTAGACAAAGTCAATGAAAAAGTTAAACACAGATGTGGCTGAGGAACTAACTGCTTTGCCACTATACCCACTAAGTCCTTCAGTCTGGGTCCAGCCCTCAATGGTTTGTGGAAGTCTTTGCAAGTGACAGAATATCAGAGTTCACACCTCATAGCCACCATCTCATCCAAAACAGTGCTCGGGAAATCCTGGGGCCATCCAAAGTCCTCATTGCACAAGGAAAATCAGGGAATCAGAGAGGGGTAGTGACTTTCCCAAGGTCACACAGCAAATTGATGGAAGACTTGTGATCAGAGGTATGTGTCTGAACCCTCCATCGCCCCCCTTCACGCACACACATTATCTTTTCTATACCTTTCTCCTTTCTCTTCTCTTGCAAGTGAATCTGGACAAACATCTGGGGCAACCTCTGACATCTGGCCGTCTTTTGCAAAATCCTCCCCCAGATACCACCAACCCTTTCAAGGGCCTATCTGGCAGCCAGCAAAGGTGTCCAAAGCTGGGACTGGTACCTACACTGTGGAGACACCTGGCTGCTTTGGGCAAAAGTCTATCAACTGGCTGATTTCAGCACCATCGTTGTTGTGGCTGGCTGGGATCGAAAGGACTTTTTGGTCCAAAGAGCCAGTTGTGTCTTCCCTGGGGAGGTGAACTCGGATCAAGGCCTCTGAATCCCTTTTGGGAAACAGATCGTTTATGGATCTAACGAAAGCTCAGGAGCCTAGTCCCAGAAAAATGCATCAGAACATAGAAAATTGTGTGGATTTTAGGAGGTTTGCGGATCATGGTGTGAATCCACAATGGCAACCTCAAGTTAAAACTCTTACTTATGGAACGGGCAGGTCTCACCTGGGCTTCTCAGAGGTCCTGGCAGCTGTCCTGGTCTCCTCTCCCCTCCTCTGTTCTCTTCTGCTGAGGAGGCAGCCTCTTTTATAGTGTGGGAACCAGGAAATGTGCGATCGGATGATGGGTTTCCAGATAATTCAGAATTCTGCAATCTGGTGGTATCTATCCTTCAGGGCTCTCCAAAGTAAATCATTGCCAATCATATTAGTAGGTGGGACAGTTCAGTCATTTGATTGGCAAGTTAAAGAAAGAACAACTTGAGATGGTGATATTGCTCAAGACTTTACGGTTTCATGAGCAGGGCTCAGGCTGGGGGTCCAGGCTCGCAGGTGGCCTGGAAGATCAAATTTGGAACAAGAGGAGAGGCAGGAACTGGAGCCAGGAAGGGACCTCAGGCTCCTATCTAGGCCCTTTTCCATTTCTGGTTCAATTCTTTCTTTCCAAACTGTCGAAGTGTCAAAAAGAGAATCTGTCCGTGATTTCCCTACATCTGGGACATCTGAGTCCCTCTTTCATGACAGTTCCATGCTGGGGGAGATACACCCTCACCAGAACTCTGAGAGGGAGGGGCTGCTGGTCCTCCTCCACAAATGAGGAAACTGAGGCCCAGTGGGACAAGTGCCCAAAGACACAGGGAGGATGTGACAGAGTCAGAACTCAACTCACTGGATGATAATAACCATACAAACAGTGTCAACAGCTGACACTTGCTGAGCTCTTGCTGTATGCCAGGCCCGGCGTTGCTTTTCACATACAGCATCTCAGGAATCCTTATAAGTTTGTGTGAGGTGGGAATGAAGACCCCCATTGACAAGGGGAAACTGATGCTCAGGGTGTGAGTTGATGCATCCAGAGTTGCACAGTGGGATGGGGCCAAGGCGTCTACACTCTGGTCCTTTCTCTGAGTCGCTGAGCTGAGGGATGAAGACGCCTTCTGAAAACTCAGTGACCATTGTGCATTCCTGCATCCTTGAATTTCATGCCTTCTTGAAATTTCACTTTTATATCCTGGAAAAGTCTTTCCAGTTTCCCAGGCCTGAGGGATGCTGTGCATCCTGGTCTCTACCTTTACCCTTTCTTCCTCCCTTCCCCAAAGGAAGTAACAGCATTTGTCCCCAGAACTTGGGCCTTTGGAGTCTCTTTTATAGATAAAAGTACTGAGGAATGGAGACATCAACGTCTTAGAGTGGGGAGAGCATGTCTTGCCCTGTGAAATCTAACACCTTTTGAGCAAAAGTGGAGAGAGAAGGAAGAAACGCACATTTATTGAGCACCCAATCTGCGCTGGGGGTGGGGGGTGCGTCTCCGTATTTGAACCTTGTCTTGTCAGGAATAGTTGGTATTGTTTTCTCTTAAACATCAGATATGGAGACCGAGATTCAGAGAGGGTGACTACCTTTCAGGGACACACAGCAAGTGAGTGGTGGAGTCAGAATTTGCCCCCGTGTCTGACGCCCCTGTGATCAGTGAGCCACACTGCCCTCCCTCCCTCCAGGCCTTCACTGGAACCACTCCCACTTCCTGAGAGAGTCTGGCCAACTACTCTGAGGGGCCAGGGCACTGGCTTTGAACTCCATTATCCATTCAAGCACTCACTAGAGTCTTCCCACAGCTTGTATGCTGTCAGTCATCCTCAAAGGGGTCTTAGTTTTTGTTATCTTGGTGCAATTCTGACACGTCCCAGTTTTTATCTTGGCGCAACTCTCATGGGTGGGGTCAAGTTACTACTGTCTTTTGGGGAAACAGAGGCAGATAAGTCAGGGGATTGATTAAGTCTGTGCTGCCAGTTACTGGGCTCTTACAGCCTGTGGTTTGAAGCCAGGAGGCGGCTTCTGTTATTCTGGCAGAAAGGGGATGGATTTGGGTACAGATGGCCCTGCTTCAAATGCTGTGACCCAGTCAAGTCTCTCTGACCCTTGAGCTCCAGTTTCCGCATCTGTGAAAGGGGAGGGCGATATCTACCTCACAGGGCTGTGGGGGA